TATCTAAAAAAAATGCGTTTCATGACTCAGTCGTTGTTGTTGTTGTTGTTGTTGTTGTTGTTGTGTTGGAAACGGTTGGGTAATTTTTGATAATTTAAAAACCCTCCGAGCGGTGAGCGTGGCTGGGGCGGCGGTGCGGGCCCGTGCGGTGTGCAGTCCCGCACGTCACGCCCGAACGGCGGGTGGCCGATCGGGCGGTCCGCAGGCGCTCGACCGGGCAGGATGATGGCTGTTCATTCCTAATGTGAGAGAAGCGCGGCTCGCTGAGCTCTTGCAGTGAAATCGATCAGTAAATAAGGTACATTATCGCCGCACGGGCTGCAACTGCTTCCGTCCCATCGCACCCCTCAGACCGTTCCATCCACCGAATCCGTGGGAACAGAAATCCCCCTTCCCTCTTCTCCCTCCCCCCCTCCCACCCCCGAGATATTGCACGGTAAAAACAATTTCTTCTTTTTATTTCTTTTTCCAGGAAAAGGGGAAACCTTTGAAGAAACCTTCATCGTTTGGAGAAAACTCCTCAGATTTTGAGGATATTTGTCTTCAAAAAGGAAGAAAAGTCCCACATTTTTGATGAGATTCCCTCGAAATCCGAGGAGTTTTCACCACTCGCTCCTCTGCCCCCGCACATCGCACTTTTGCCAACCCATCGCTCTATATCGCTCCCGCCCGAGCACATCAGACCCGAGCCCGCCTGAGGCGGCGATGCTATATTGTCCGCTCGTCTTGCTTTCGCGATTCTCGACCCTCTCGCATAGCTCTCCATGCCTCTCTTTCGCCTCGCACATCTCCGCCCTCTGTTTTTCCCTCTAACCCCACCCCCCCCACCTTCCTCTCCAATACCCCTTCCGCTGAGTCCGAGGGAGCTGGTTTACGTTCTGTTCGACCTAAATCGAGAAATATATCCGGGAGCGGCAGATGGCGAGGCGAGCGGGGCAGAAGGCGATGCTCACCCATTTGTGCCGGGGGAGCTGCTTGTGAATCTCCTCTCCACGTCCGGTCGGGTCCACTCCAGTGTGGTCACAGCCCGTCGAAACATTTCCAATTGCATGTTGTGCTCAACAAAATTATTGACACATCCATTTCTTTAAAAATCAGCTCACGGATCGCAACTTCCGTCGTTTTCTCATTTTATCAACGAGTAATAATATCAGAGCGTTTGTGGAGAACGCTCTCATTGTTTCCCGCAGTTTGTTGTGAATGCGGCTGTATATACCTCGCACTAAAGTTAAACGAGATCCTTTCCGCCCGCTCTCCTCCATCAAAAGGAAATCTCTTGAAAAAAAGTTTTGGCATGGCGCAAGAATGGCCAGATTGAGGGGGCGCTGGCCATTGTTCACGTTCATGAAAAGTTTCCCCTCGGCTCGACGTGTCGCCGAGCTGCTGTGGAGCTTGCTGGACTCCAGTGACGCCGCCGTGGTCCGGGCGTTGGCGTGACAAGGGGCCAAGCCCAGGCCAAAGCCCGGGCCCAGCCGCCAGTCCTGCCGTTGTCGTCTGTTTCGGCTTTCAGCTCACTGAATGGGCTGCCGGGTCGGGCCACTCCGTTAGGCGAGCGGGCTCTGCCCCCGGGGGGGCCGCACGGCGGGCGCTAGTAGAGAGGATTGGCGCAGATTATACCGTTACGCTGACCAGCGAGGCGACAAGGGAAAAAGAGAATCGTACTAGGGGGAGAGAGAAAGAGAGAGAGAGAAAAGTCCAGTGTCACAGACGGGTGGGGAGAAAAGAGACAGAGAGACCGAGACTGAATGCAATCACGACTGTTAGTTTGCAGACGTTTGCGAGGTGGGGGTGGGGAAAACAGAAGCAAGCTGGGTTTTTATGTATGCATTTATGTACAGAGATGTTTGCCCTAACAGACTTGTTCCTTGTAAACTACGTCATTGTCCGTAAATCTAAAATGTATGTGATGTTATAAGAAAACATATTTCTCACGGTATTTTCGGTAGTGCAAGCAGCGCTGGGCGGCGTTTCCACGCCTCGCACCTCCACCGCGTTGCCCACGCGCATGAAAAGTGAAAAAGTTTTGACTGAAAAAGCAAAGCAGCAGTGAGTGCTTATCATTTCAGGGTAATAATCAAAGTTTTTCGTCTGCGCCCGCGTTTTTCCCTCCGCCTCCCCAGCCGTCACCTGCACCTTTTCCTCCTCGCCTCCTCCTCTTCCACCAGGCTCGGCGCCGCAGCCCGCGCAGCTCAACTCCCCCCACACACCACGCGCCCGAAATAATCATTGAGTCGGTGTGCCCCGAGTCGACTTCAAAAAGCTGCACACAAAAGACTCCCCATCTCGACCCCCTCGACCTCCTGTCCCGAGTAGAGCCTTCCCTCTCCGGTTTGGTCCGAGCCCACCTCCCCGAGTGCGTCGCGGGAAGGCGGGTTCTGCTGCGGTTGACCGAGCAGGACAATTGCCCGCAGTGCTCTGGGTCTGGGGCGAGCAGCGAGCAGCTCTCTCTCTCTCTCTCTCTCTCTCTCTCCCTGTGGCCGAGTTGGGAGTGCGGACGGCTTCCTTCCGTCCGTTGTTCTTCTCGGCCCCCTTCAATCAGAGGTGGTGCTCACTCGGCGCCGGCGGAGTGGCCGCTATCCCGGCCCGCAGCAGACTCCGTCACGGCAGCGCGTGGAGGTCGGTCTCGAAACTCGAACAACGAAGAACCTTTCATTAATTAGAGAGGGAGAAAGAACCGCGGCCGTCACGGCCACGCCATTTTTGTATGTTGGACACGTCCACGTTCCGCAAAAGCAACCCAATTGGATGGCCCGAATTATTTTTTTAATTAACTTTGCCGCTTGCCACTTCCTTGCTTTGACAACCTACTCTCTTTGGGTTGTCCTTCGCGGGCGCCCCTCGTGGTCGCCCCGCCGCCCGTCTGTCCATCTGTCCGTCTGTCGGTCCGTCTGTCGGTCCGTCTGTCCGTCTGTTCATCTGTTGTCCATCTGTCCGTCCCCGCCGTCCGTCTGATTTCCTGTCTGTCTGTTGGCTCACCCCATTCCAGTGTGCCACAGCCATGCGGCCCTCTGGGGGTCCTGAATGGCCGGGTGTGGCTCTCCACTGGCTGCCCGCACTTGGGCCCTTACACGACTGGAGGACATGTCCCTCCTCCTTCCTCTCTTCCTCCCCCTCCCCCTCCTCCGCCCCCCCTCCGAATTCTCCTCCCTTTGCCCCTCCCCTCTTTCTCCTCCTCTCCCCCCGGCATACCGCAGCACCGTCTCTCAGCCGACCTGCCCCTTGCAGGCCGCATTCCCGTCCTCCTCCACCCCTTTCCCTCCATACCCCCCCCCCTTTTCCCCCGAAGCAGCCCAGAGTTCTCGAAGCACTTTCCGACTTGGGGTCATTCTGCTTGTCTCTAGCAATTATAGATAGGAATACCAGCGCCGCCCACCTCGCCCTGCCACGCCCCGCCCCGCCCTCCGCCCCCACCGTACGCGCACTTTCAATAACAGAGGGGCCACCAGTTTTGATAGCAATTGGTGAGAGATGGCGGCAGGTTGGGGGGAGGGGGTGAGGGGGAGGCCCGGGAGCGATAACTGCTGGCCGACGTTCCCCGACTCCCAACGATTTATACCTCTCGGTCTCAAAATGGAACAATAAAAGCTTTCGCTGCGCGGTAAAGTAAAATATTATATAGAGACCGCCCCGCTCTGCACGGTCCCGCCCCCGCGCTCGCCGCTGTGATATGATGAAGTTTCTCTTTCGGTTTTCGTTCGGAGAAGCAGCAACAGCAGAGGCAGCAGGGTAGGAGTGCACTGCGGACCGCCTTCTCCGGGGACCGCAAAAGGGATAGTATAAAAGTTTCACGACACTCGTTTGCGAGAGATGACGTGTGTTTCCATCCAGTCCCTGATTTCCAGAGCCCTTTCATATTGCAGTTTACTCGTAAAAGCATTCTGTGGATCGACTCGCCTGTTTAGTGGGACGATACATTGCGCAACATACGTATTCATTTCAATTCAATTTTTTCAGGGATATATTTGATTTACAAAATAAATAAACAGACGTTACCGTTTTTGTGCAGTTTCCAACTTTTCGATGCAAATAAAACTCCTGGTGAATGCGATGGATGTGGGTTTGAGCTACATAC